AAGCTGTGGTTAGTATTTTGAATTTTATATGTTGAGTTAGTGTAAGCCAATGAAGGGATTGGCAGAGAGGGGCAGCAGTCGCTGATCGGTTGGTAAGGTGTATGAGTCTAGCAGCAGCATTCATAATAGACTGAAGGGGGATAGCCTGTGTAACAATTTATGCAGCACTTTACATATTTATTATATATTCACATCAGTCCCTAACCCTCAAGGGGAGTACAATCTAAAATCCCTAACTTACATTAATACACATAGTAGGGCCAATTTAGACAGGAGCCAATTCACGTACCAGCATATTTTTGGAGAGTGGGAGGAAGCTGGAGTACCCAGAGGAACCCCATGCAGGTACAGGAAGAACATGCAAACTCCAGGCAGGTAGTGCTGAGGTTGGGATTTGAACCAATGTCCCTAGTACTGCCAGGTGGAAGTGCTAACCATTTAGCCCCCGTGCTGCCTTAGGCAAATTCATATGAAAATTCTTAGAGCATCCTCAGAACATTCATGTGTCATTAGAATTTTTTACCTTTGATTTTGGAATGAATAGACTTCACCAAATGAAAACCAACTGAGAAATGCTCTTTCAAATTTTCCTATCGCTGCAGTCAAAAACAAATGTTAATTTGACGCCTCTAAGGATTAGAAATACAAATGAACTTTCTTAGCACCTTCTTTACCTATGAACTTTCATGCGAAATTCTACCTATGGCCAGCTTTAGTTTTATGGAAGCAAAAAAAAAAAAAAAAAATTTTACCCCAGCATATAACAGAGCGTGTACATTATAGCTGATCCTTTAACTTTTCTGCTGTAAACAATTGTATAGCAGTGTTATATTATTTATCAATGTCCAGCACATTCACAAATTGGTTGAAAATGTACTGCCCCTGTGGGTACATTTGCCTGCATGTAGGCTATAAGTTATTCATGTATTACAAATGTGGCCCCTGAGAAAAAAAAAAAAAAAAAAAAAAAAAAATAAAAAATAAAAAAAAAAAACAAATAAAAAAAAAATTAAGCTACAAGGACCCAGCCAAAAGAGATTACTTAACAATGCAGGAACACATCCTCCCCTAACCAAAATATGCACAGCAGGAATTAAACTTCACTCATTTGATTCACTGCCCACAATGGGACTACTGCCTTCCAATACAGAGATTTCTGCATGATAATTCCACATTCCAAGAAGCCACACAGATCTTGGAGCTGCTAACCACATCTTTAAGAAGCAATGCAGTAGATTTACATTCTGTTTTGCATTGCAAATTACAGGCGTCTTCTCTGCTCCACCCTTACCAAGGCTGAGAAAAAATGTGCCTGCAGGGACAATGACATTAATTCTGTCTTCTACAGACTTCAGTAAATCAAGGGGAGGTCAGTTTAACTCAGTCATAGAGTTTGTAGGTCAAAGCAATATAGAAGAGTCCCTATGCTACCTTGTACAGCATCTGATGGTGATAAATGATGGAAATGTATGACTACAAAAGAACTAAGATTTTACCTTTCAATATTTCTATCAAACTTTAGTTAAGAACTCTGGTATATTGAAATTCATGCTATTTTTACTTGAGGTGATTGTAGCCGTATTAGTGCATTTGCAACAGAAACAATTGAGTACTGTCCCTGATACTTTTTTTATTTGCACTAACATACAATTTTGAGGACAAGCTTTCAGGGATTGTCCACTTCTTCAAAGTCCAAGCAGTACTATACAAATCACAAAGTTTCAGCAGAATGTTAGAATGTTAGAAGGGATGAAAAAAAAAAAAAGGCTAGAGATAAGATACAGCAAATGCAACACTCACACAGAGGGAGTCAAGCTTCAGCTAATAGTCATAAAACTGTTGGATAATGGTTGAGGAATCCCATGTCCAAGTTAAGGCCGTAATCTCTTGTGTCAAATAGAATTATCATTCTTAGTTCAAAAGTTTTTCTTCCCTGAATGGATTTGAAATTTCCTTTAAGAACTAAAATATTGAGGTCTCCCATTGTGTGGCCTGGTTGTGCGAAATGGTGTCCTACAGGTGTGCAGAGGTCATCTTCTATATGTTCCTTGATGATATGTCTGTGCAAATTCATCCTTGTTTGCAACATCTGTCCTGTTTCGCCAACATAAGATCCTTTGCTGCATTTTCTGCACTGGAAACCCCAAAAGCTTGTCCTCAAAATTGTATGTTAGTGCAAATATAAAAAAAAGTATCACGGACAGTACTCAATTGTTTCTGTATACATGTCATATCGCTATAATGGAGTACAGGGGAGCTGGTATATACATACTGTATACATGTCATATTACTATAATGGAGTACAGGGGAGCTGGGATATACATTACTGTATACATGTCATCACTATAATGGAGTACAGGGGAGCTGGGATATACATTACTGTATACATGTTATATCACTATAATGGAGTACAGGGGAGCTGGGATATACATTACTGCATACATGTCATATCACTATATAATAGAGTACAGGGGAGCTGGGATATACATACTCTATACATGTCATATCACTATAATGGAGTACAGGGGAGCTGGGATATACATACTGTATACATGTCATATCACTATAATGGAGTACAGGGGAGCTGGGATATACATTACTGTATACATGTCATATCACTATAATGGAGTACAGGGGAGCTGGGATATACATACTGTATACATGTCATATCACTATAATGGAGTACAGGGGAGGGGGGGATATACATTACTGTATACATGTCATATCACTATAATGGAGTACAGGGGAGCTGGGATATACATACTGTATACATGTCATATCACTATAATAGAGTACAGGGGAGCTGGGATATACATTACTGTGTACAGTTTTATATTTTGGACTATTAATTCTAAAGAAAAAGGTAATTGCATAAGCTTTAAGGGAGCGTTGTTTGGGGTGGGCCAGAGGTTGGGTGGGGCAACTGGTGGAGAGTAAGTTTTGTGACCGGCTAGTAGGTCTGGACTCTAAATTTTAACCCCTGACTTAAAAAACTAGGCAGAAAATTGTCAGCCAGACAGCACTTACAATCAATCAGCCGCTGTTGCTGTTTGGGTATTCTGATAGCCGGCGCTCACATCTGTCAGAATCCAATAGCCTGTCGGCAAGGATTTGTTCATCCATTTGTAAATGTGGAAGGAGGAATCTGTTAAATGTGTTTTATTCAGCACACAGGCTGAACATGAGAAATATGTTGATTTATGGCCAACTTAATACTACAGACATCTTTACATAAAGAGAAAACTGCTCCTTCCAGTAGAGGTGACACCACTCTGTTCATTAACTTTAAAATTGAAAGTGATGTCACCATCCTGGCTATGTAGTTTGGCAGGACAGTTTGAACATAAATGGCTGAACAGAATAACCTATAATTTGGTAGGAAGAGTGCTCACATATGTATTGCAGTGTTTTATTGTACAGTATAAATGTTCAGTTATTTGTTAAATATATTAGTCAAATCACAAAAGAAAAAAGCTACATTGCTGTAGACAGGCTTTCCACTTTCCTTTATATTGTCTGAATTGACTGTGATACATTTTATTATGCTTTGAAAAATTTGAATCATCTTTTTACAGCACAGCAAAAAAGACTAAGCGGTATGTCAGTACTACATCAGTTTGGGTTCTGTATATAAGACAGCATAAAAGAAGGCATTTATCAATGGAAAACATAAACAGTTTCTGGCTATTCTTTATATTATAATAATAAATAATACAGTGTACCACATTGAACACAAGACAATAGATAGTACTGCATTTCTAATGAAGAGGCCGTATTAAACTTTTTTGTTGAAAGGGGAAAATAGCATCTTCCAAAGCATAAAAGGGGAAACAAATTATAAAACAATTGCTTCTAAGAGAGTTTGCTTATGTTTGGCATTGTTAGAACCCTGTCAGACAGTGAGCTAAATCATGAGGTATGGCTGGTCTGCATTGAATGTCTGGTCTGCTTGGACTGCTCAAGTCTACTTGGCACGCTCAGCCTGACTGTAGAGGAAAAAGCAAAGCAGTCAAAAGGAATCCAAGCTATGCGTGGGCCAGAGAGGAGGAATGCAGGCACAATGAAAACAATCGCATGCAAGAAAGGCTCCAGTTAAGAGCTTGTTGCGCAATAAAGGGTTCTGATAAATGCATTTGTCCTACTTTATAATACACTCATATAACCTGTATCTGTGACATATACAGTACAAGTGACATCTAATCTATCTTTCATTAAACACTGCATATGAAACATAGGTGTGCGCAGCCTATTGCATTATTGCTATAGAGCACCCCAAAGCTTAAACACATGTGTGTGTGTGTGTGTGTGTGTGTGTGTGTATGTGTATATATATATATATATATACACATTATATTGACAAAAGTATTGGGACGCCTGCCTTTATGCACACATGAACTTTAATGGCATCCCAGTGTTAGTCCGTAAGTTTCTATATTGAGTTGGCCCAACCTTTGCAGCTATAACAGCTTCAACTCTTCTGGGAAGGCTGTCCACAAGGTTTAGGAGTGTGTCTATGGGAATGTTTGACCATTCTTCCAGAAGCGCATTTGTGAGGTCAGGCACTGATGTCGGAAAAGAAGGCCTGTTTCCGTTCTAATTCATCCCAAAGGTGTTCTATTGGGTTGAGGTCAGGACTCTGTGCAGGCCAGTCAAGTTCCTCCACCCCAAATTCGCTCATCTATGTCTTTATGGACTTTGCTTTGTGCACTGGTGCGCAGTCATGTTGAAACAGGAAGGAGCGATCCTCAAACTGTTCCCACAAGGTTGGGAGCATGAAATTGTCTAAAATGTCTTGGTATGCTGACGCCTTAAGAGTTCCCTTCACTGGAACTAAGGGGCCAAGCCCAACCCCTGGAAAAACAACCCAACACCATAATCCCCCCTCTACCAAACTTTACACTTGGCACAATACAGTCAGGCAAGTACCGTTCTTCTGGCAACCATGAAACCCAGCGCTTTGCATTGCACTTGGTGATGTAAGGCTTGGATGCAGCTGCTCGGCCAAGGAAACCAATTCCATGAAGCTCCATATGCACTTTTGTGCTAATCTGAAGGCCCCATGAAGTTTGGAGGTATTTAGCTATTGACTCTGCAGACAGTTGCCGACTTCTGCACACTGTGCACTTCAGCATACACTGACCCCGCTCTGTCATTTTACGTGGCCTACCACTTGGTGGCTGAGTTGCTGTTGTTCCCAGTTGCTTCCACTTTGTTTTAATACCACTAACAGTTGATTGTGGAATATTTAGTAGCAAGGAAATTTCACAGATGGACTTATTGCACAGGTGGCAACCTATCACGGTTCCACGTTTATATTCACTGAGCTGCTGAGAGCGACCCATTCTTTCACAAATGTTTGTAGAAGCAGTCTGCATGCCTAGGTACTTGATTTTATACACCTGTGGCCATGTAGGTGATTGGAACACCTGAATCCAGTGACTTGGCGGGGTGTCCGAATACTTTTGGTAAAGTAGTACATATATATATATATATATATATATATATATATATATATATATACACACACACTCTCTTATGGCAGAGGCTGACTCACAGAGTGATAAAGCTAATGCTCAAAGGGTGATTTGGGTGTGCCCAGGCCCAACTGGCACATCCCCTGGTACAATGTAAGTATGCATAAAGCTAACCATACATTATTCAAATGACCAGGTTAAGTGTGTGGATGGGGGCATCACTACTGCTGTGCTATTGTGTTCTGACTGAAGAGACTTCCCTGCTGTCAGAACAGACTGATCAGTGTTTTTGGCTATAGGAAAAACCCAACAGGCTGATTGTACAGAAGTCAATTGGTAAATCGACCTCAGAACAACCAGCCTGCAAATACAGTCAGGTCCATAAATATTGGGACATCGACACAATTCTAACATTTTTGGCTCTATACACCACCACAATGGATTTGAAATGAAACAAACAATATGTGCTTTAACTGCAGACTGTCAGCTTTAATTTGAGGGTATTTACATCCAAATCAGGTGAACGGTGTAGGAATTACAATAGTTTGCATATGTGCCTCCCACTTGTTAAGGGGCCAAACATAATGGGACAGTTGGCTTCTCAGCTGTTCCATGGCCAGGTGTGTGTTATTCCTTCATTATCCTAATTACAATGAGCAGATAAAAGGTCCAGAGTTAATTTCAAGTGTGCTATTTGCATTTGGAATCTGTTGCTGTCAACTCTCAAGATGAGATCCAAAGAGCTGTCACTATCAATGAAGCAAGCCATCATTAGGCTGAAAAAAAAAAAAACAAACCCATCAGAGAGATAGCAAAAACATTAGAAGTGGCCGAAACAACTGTTTGGAACATTCTTAAAAAGAAGGAACGCACCGCTGAGCTCAGCAACACCAAAAGACCCGGAAGACCACGGAAAACAACTGTGGTGGATGACCGATGAATTCTTTCCCTGGTGAAGAAAACACCCTTCACAACAGTTGGCCAGATCAAGTACACTCTCCAGGAGGTAGGTGTATGTGTGTCAAAGTCACCAATCAAGAGAAGACTTCACCAGAGTGAATACAGAGGGTTCACCACAAGATGTAAACCATTGGTGAGCCTCAAAAACAGGAAGGCCAGATTAGAGTTTGCCAAACGACATCTAAAAAAGCCTTCACAGTTCTGGAACAACATCCTATGGACAGATGAGACCGAGATCAACTTGTACCAGAGTGATGGGAAGAGAAGAGTATGGAGAAGGAAAGGAACTGCTCATGATCCTAAGCAGACCACCTCATCAGTGAAGCATGGTGGTGGTAGTGTCATGGCGTGGGCATGTATGGCTGCCAATGGAACTGCTTCTCTTGTATTTATTGATGATGTGACTGCTGACAAAAGCAGCAGGATGAATTCTGAAGTGTTTCGGGTAATATTATCTGCTCATATTCAGCCAAATGCTTCAGAACTCATTGGACGCTTCACAGTGCAGATGGACAATGACCCAAAGCATACTGCAAAAGCAACCAAAGGGTTTTTTAAGGGAAATAAGTGGAATGTTATGCAATGGCCAAGTCAATCACCTGACCTGAATCCGATTGAGCATGCATTTCACTTGCTGAAGACAAAACTGAAGGGAAAATGCCCCAAGAACAAGCAGGAAGTGAAGACAGTTGCAGTAGAGGCCTGGCAGAGCATCACCAGGGATGAAACCCAGCGTCTGGTGATGTCTATGTGATCCACACTTCAGGCTGTAATTGACTGCAAAGGATTTGCATCCAAGTATTAAAAAGTGAAAGTTTGATTTAAGATTATTATTCTGTCCCATTACTTTTGGTTCCTTAACAAGTGAGAGGCACATATGCAAACTGTTGTAATTCCTACACCATTCACCTGATTTGGATGTAAATACCCTCAAATTAAAGCTGTCAGTCTGCAGTTATAGCACATCTTGTTCGTTTCATTTCAAATCCATTGTGGTGGTGTACAGAGCCAAAAATGTTAGAATTGTGTCGATGTCCCAATATTTATGGACCTGACTGTACATGGATCGAAATTTAGGGAAGTCCCTGACCTGGCCAAATTTCATGTTTGGTCACCTTTACTCATACATGATGGGCCACTGGGAAAGCTGGAAATTACTGTGGTAGTTGGCACTAGTACAGTGATAGCTGTGATCTTCCGAGTCCTGCTCAGGTTGTATGCAAGTATTACTGCTCATTGACTACAGGGGAATGCTCACTTAGTGCCACAGCCATTCACAGAAGACCTTGTATTTTTTTAAATGACTGGACAAAGTGGAGAGAAGGGGTTGTGACATCACAATTTCCACTCTTGAGCCAGCCATATTAGATCAAAATTTGTCTTGTTCAGGTGGGACTGGCCAAGTTTGACCCATGTGTGGCCATTCACACTGTTGGACGGGCCTGTTGGAAAATTTTTCTTGATCAGTGTATTTTGACAGTGGAGAGTCCCTGCTGTTAGAATACAGGGGGCTTGATTTACTAAAGGCAGATGTACTGTGCACTGCAAGTGCAGTTACTCTAGATATGAAGGGAAGCTCTGAAATGAGTGGAAACTATCATCCAATCACGTGCAAGCAAAAATGCTGTTTTTTTTTCTTTTTCTTGCCTATGATCAGGTATTCTTTGCAAAGTGAAGGTTTACCTCATTTACTAAGCTCTGGAGAAACTGCACTTGCAGTGCACAGTATACTGTATTTTAATGTATTTGAAGACGACATTGCACAACTCGACTGCAGAAATCTCTTAATTGTTTTTGTTCAGCATGCTAGCTGAATGAAAAAAAAAAATGATCCATCTATCCAGCATTAGAAAACCCTTGTGTTTACTGACAAAATATATAAGGCATTCTATGAATGGCAGCAGTGCCAAGCGAGCAACTCCCTGTTGTCATTGTGCAGTGGGGAAACTGCTGGGCACAGGACCCAAAAGATTGTGGCTATCACTGTAATAGTGCCAACTATTGAGTGTCAGCTACAACAGCTGTTCCTCATCTATGAGATACTGTATGGAGGGGCGGACTGACCATTTGGAAATTCGGGCACTGCCCGACGGCCTGGGGTCAGTAGGGGGCCCCATGAGATGCACCTGGTACCTTTTTCATAGGCTTTTTTGGGTTTGGGCAAGGACACAGGCGCCCCATGATCCCCTATTGCCTGGGGGCCCCATGAGTTGTCAGTCTGCCCCTGACTGTATGCATACTTAAATTGGCCCAAACTGTAACTGTAAGCATTGTAAGTATGCAACTAAGATAATACTTACCTATCAACTCTGGTAAGTGTGCAGTGGGGCAACCATTCAGAGCCTGAGCAGGACCTGGAAAATTGTGGCTATCACTGTAGCAGTGCTGACTACAGTAATTTCCAGCTTCCCCAGTGATCCATCAAGACTGCCAGACTGAACCAATGTAAGTATGCAATAGAAATAATTTTATGGAGTTCAGGGACAGAACGGACCACATTCCTGTGCAATTCCTGTGCTACTCAGTTCAGTGTGATTTTCAGCCCATTCATTTCATTAGGCTGAAATTGCACTGGATCGCAGCAAAAGTAGTGCATGCACATTTCAAAAAGCACACTGCACTATGTTACATGCTACTGTGGTACCATGCAATCCGGTGCAGGGAAATAAGCTACATTTGTGATCTGCATTTGCAGTATAATTAGAATTATATTGACACCCGCAGCAGATCAAACACCCAGTGCGTCTTCAATGCTGGGTGGAAAATGTGGGTTTCCTGCACCATGTTCTGGTGCGAACGAGCCCTTAAAGTGACCAATAGGTGACCTGCTGCATATTTATAGTATACAGGTTGGTTAGTCATTCTTTTCAAATGCCCTTTGATTTTTTCATTATTTGGAGCATAGTAAGGTAAAATTGACAAGCACAAAAGTATTTACCTAAAGCATTGCAGACAGCTAAGATATTCAGAGACTCCTGCTCCTGGGCTTTTTATTCCTTTTCTGATTAATATGCAAAGTGCAGTAATTATTAGTGCCCTTAACTGAGACAAGTATTATTATTGTTATACAGTATTTATAAAGCGCCAATAGTTTGCTCAGCGCTGTACATTACAAAGGGGGACAGAACATGTGACAGAACAATACCAATACAATGCAAAACATGAGGGGATTGAGGGCCCTGCTCCTTGGAGCTTACAATCTAGGAGGGAGGGGATGGTGGCACAGGAGGAGATAGCTGTGGGGAATGGAGTGGTAGGAAGAGTGGAGGAGGTCGGCAAGTTAGCAGGGGGTGGGGTAGGCTTCCCTGAAGAGATGGGTTTTCAGGGTGCACCTAAAGGAGAGGAGAGTAGGTGATAATCTGATGGGTTGGGGCCGTGAGTTCTAGAGGATGGGTGACACCCTGGAGAAGTCCTGGAGGCGGGCATGGGAGGAGGAGACCAGGGAACTAGAGAGAAGGAGGTCTTGTGAGGAGTGGAGTGTGCGTGCTAGGTGGTACTTGGATATTAGGTCAGTGATGTAGTTCGGGGCAGTATGGTGGACAGCTTTGTACGTCAGTGTTAGGATTTTGAATTTGATCCGTTGCGCAATCGGAAGCCAGTGGAGGGATTGGCAGAGGGGGGTGGCGGAAACGGAGCGGTTGGAAAGGTGAATGAGTCTGGCAGGCCATAGATGGGCCGTTTTATCGGCCGAATTTTCGTCCGCACGAAAAATCGGCCGATAATCACGCCGTTAATGGGGCCATCCCGTCTGTCGTTTTTCGCAGATCTCCTCATTTATTTTTATCGGTCATGCAGGAAAATCCGCAAAAAAATGAGGTTTTTCGTGGACATGGGTGGCAGCATCAGCAACAGGGCCGACCGATTTTTCATTTTTCCGCAAATTCGGCCGATAAATGTCCTGTCTATGGCCTGCCTAACTCCCAGGAGCCAGTGATAAAATC